ACTGCCTCCAAAAAAATTTATGGGGTATTTGGGCTCCTGAAGTAGAAAGCTCTGTCATAACTGCAAATCTGTAAAGATGGGAATTGTTTTTTGCAAAGCTTAAGGAAATTCCTATGCTAAATCTTGAATTGTGTTCATGCAATGAACTAGCATCAGTAACAATGTTTAAACTTGCTTGAATTCTGTAGTTTAGTTTAAATATAAAACTGTTCAGGAAAAAAATAATCTACTAAAATTATTTGTCCCGTGCCAACATCTGTTTAATTTCTCATGTGGCACAGGTGTAACTGAATTGGTTTTGAACTTAAATTAATGTCCATATACTCGTTACAAGAATTTTACTTTTTAACCTGCTTGCATCTGATAGGTATCAGTATGGAGCAGCAATGTTTAATTGGACTGCTTTAAAAGGTATTTATTAGTCCACCACTCTCGTTCCCTACCACGTTCTTTAGAGCTTAAAACATAGTACATTCCAAACTGTATAATGCCAAATATTTCAAAACTTTTGGGTTTTTAAAACTTTTTAAAACCTGTTGAGAAGAGTACAGGCCCAGTGGTGGATTAATGTCAGCCCTTTTGCAGAACTTCTACAAAAAATCCACTTCCCTTTCTCCTCCCATATTAACTGAAGCAGAAGTTGATAAATTGAGCCCTTGAGACTTTATTGCACTTTGAATGGCCTGCTGTGTGAAGATTTAAGCGCTATAGCTAATGATGCCTTTTTTTTGGTAAATGCTAACTAGAATTTTACTTTCCATCAAAATGTTTAGAAACAGTAACTTTTTCCCTGTGTCTGTTGGGTTGTTGTGTTTTTTTTTTTAGCTTGAGTGGGTAACCATTCTTTTGTGATGATGTTCTTTACTATTTAAGCTAGAAATGAGGGGTTTTTTTGATGTGTGCGATATTTGGTGCTGGTGTGGGCTGTAATAATGAGATGGTTCAGAGTTGTCATCTTCAACCTCTCTTATGTAAAAGCAATCTGTGTAGGACAAACTCCATAGTTTATAGTAGGTGGTTTTCAACAACTTTTTTTTTCTTAAAAAAACCCGAAACCCAGGCAAAAATAAATTACTGCTTTTCAGGGAGCTTTTTAGTATTTAGTTACTTACTGCTTTGATTCAGGCAAGTAGCTGAACCCCTCTTAGAGTTATAACAGGAAAATTACATTAGGAGTTTTGACTGTGGTTGAAAATGTTCACAGTTCTAGATTCCTTTTAGAAGCTATAGAAATCTGTTAAACTGACTGTTGTTAAACTGGTTTCTTAGTATGCATTTATTTAGTTTTAGATAAAATAAGATTTGAGCATCATTTTGTCATGAAGTTATGTGGGTAGTCAGCAGTGCAAGTGTGACAATGGAGAGGTGATAGAAAACTGCAACATTTTGACAGCTTCCACCAAATTTTCATTATTTCCACATGAGAGTGTAAGAAAATTAATTTTTTAATTTTTTTTTTCATCCTGATTTATTACAGTACTGGATTTTTGTATGCCATCCAATTTGCATACTATCAACTAAGACAAAAATGACCATGGATTTGGTAGGCACTAATGCTATTCTAAGCTTTCGTCATGTATTAGTGTGGTAGGAAAAGTATTCATGATTTTGTTTAGTGAGTGCGCTGCCCTGAGATGTCAGAATATCAGCTGTTGTTCACGGTAGCAGAATTACTGCTGAAGAGTGTTCTGCCAACACTGGTTTTCAGCACACGGTCAGCCTGGCTCCTAGTAATGTCTGCTTACCATGCACTTCATTTTCCTTCCCTGTTTGTTGCTACTGTAGTTAATAATATAAACCCTCCCTAAGCCTTAACCAAGTCTGTAATCTTTAATGACACTGAAATGTAGTGCGGGGCTTTCCCCTCATTCTGTTTACCATTACTTGGAAGAGTTCTTTCCTAAAAGGGAGCTTGTGTTTTTAGAACCACCTAGCTTTTTTTGCATGTATGTTTGGTTTCCTTCGTGTGTCACTTGTGTTCAGCTGATGCCTTGGTAACAACACAGTGGCCTTGGTGAGTCTTGAAGCTGAGATACTTAATATGGGCTTCTTTCTCTCGGCTGGGTGGTGTCCTCAGCTTCTGCCTGCTCTCTGCTAAGTGAGAAGTAAGGCTAGGAAAGAAGAAAGTTGTGAATGGGAAGTGTTTTACGCAGATGGTATGCTGAGGAGTGCCCATTTGACAGGCTATGGGAGAAGTTTAGCTGAGGGACTTTTATTTCCAGCTCATCCAGGAATAACTTGTATAACACTTTAACTTACTGTATCAGAAAGAACTTTTTTAAAACTGAGAAGGCACTCATGTATTTATTTACTCATAAATCTCCATTGTCTGTTTAGGCTAAGTTTGATATTTAGTGTATCAGCAGAGTGATAGTCTTGTAAATAAAGTTCCAAAATGTTCTTTTTAATTATTAAAAACATTGCAGGGTATAGGCAGGTTAGGTGGAAAAGCCGCAGGAAAGGAGTTAAGTGGACATTTATTTTAGGAGCAGGAGCATGTAGGTAGGATGGGGGTTTAAATTTTTTTTTTTTTTTTTTCCCCAGACATAATAATTTGCTTATTATAGATTGATGTGGTGGTTGGGAGGGGGAGATATAAATGCATTTGAACATTTGAAGATAATAATCAGGCATCTAATAATTTTTCTCTGTGTGAGCCAGCGTGACATCCTGTGCTCCATAACAGAGCTGAATTCGTGTAAGTTGTCGTGAAGATATGAAATGGCACATTTTTGAGCCTGTCCCATACTTGATGTACTTAAAGTACTTGCTCCAGACAGCCATAAGATTTCTACAGAAATAGCAAAATACATTAAGAACTGACAAATAAGTTTTTCCTGAGCCTTTTTTTACTTGGAAATGGCTAGGTAGTATTTATTTTTTTTAAAATCAATTTTGGGAAAAACCCAATAACTTTGCTCTCAGCAGAAAAACATTTTGCTCTCATCTACATTCTCAGTCTTTGCTTGTTTTGGTTGTTTTTTGGTGTGTTTTACTAGTTGCTGTAAGCAACTGTTGGCCTGGCCAATAGAATAGTACTGGGAATGGCTTCCTTGGTGGTTGAAAAAGAGGAGAGTGTGGAAACAATGAAAGTGAATGGGTTTGTGTAGATGTGAGCTTGACTTTGAGACTGGCAAGGTGGATATTTTTCAGTGGGTCTGATGAACTTTAAAGAACTTCCTGCAATTTTATTTTTTCAATATGGCAGTATTTTACCTTATAAATGTAAAACAATGAGAATTGCAGTGTAGAGCTGAAAACATTTTTGGAATTTAACCTTGAAAAAATGTCCTGTAGCTCTGGCAGTCCCTCTATATTGATTTGTTGACTCAACAGGCTTTATTACCAGGTAGAGCAGGTAATTAGAATGCTTATAATATAGTAAAGAAGAACTATAGGAAAAACAAACAGCAGTCTTTTTCATACTCAAAAATAAGCCATTCTTCTCTACATCATGGTAGAAAATGTCCAAAATTGTGATTTTTACATTGATTTACTGCTCTTGATAGTTCAAAATAAAACTGATTTCTGCATAAAAACAAAAAAACCCCACCAAACCCATCTCATTTATTAATTTGAAATCCCTTTTGTCCCTTATGTCTGGACAGTTTCTTAGAGGTGGTTGTTTTCTTTGGTGTGAGTAATAAACAGCAACATAGAAAAATGAATAACATGTTCTTGCTGTCTGAACAAATTAATTTCTTCCACATGTAGCTGATAATGTGGTAAAGCAACTTGCTTAACATGGAGGCATATGCACTCAGTACAATATTGAGATGCACAACAGTTTTGAACAGTGTTCTTTTGAGTTTAAGATGACCCAAAAGTATTGATGTAGCTAAAACATTACTCCATGTGCTAATTTGGAATTTATAGTGTGTTTTATGTGAAGTAGCTAAAGAACTGGATGTACACCTAAGTAGATGGCATCATCTCTTCATGGTTATGAATGTCATCTTTCTGGATCTTCTCTCTGCCCTGTCCATTTTGTTCTAAGAGCCAATCAGATTTGTCTGTAAAATGTAATGTATTATTTCATTTAGATGCTCTAGTTTTTTTTTTTGTATGCTAAATACTTTTATGAAGCCTTCATGTTCTCTTTTATTTATGTAACATGGAAAATGTTTTTTTTGCAGTGAATAATTACTGCTAAGTAAATCCTTCACAACTTTCTCCATATTTTTAGTTTTGAATCATGCAAAGATTTTTGTGGTCTCTGATGATAAACTGCTGGAAAACAAGAGCTTTATTTTGGGACTTGTAAAATTAATGTGTTTTACTTGTTCACTGTTGAACTTATGAAGAATATATGGAAATAAAAAATAAAATATACTGTCATTTAAATTGCCAGTTCGTAGTGTACTTTTACCTGGAATATCTTTTTGGTGTGATATTTACTAACAATTGTCATCATCACTTAATCATGTGATATATTAAATACACATCATTATACTTCATGAGACATCTTACTGGCTAGTTCTTACCATTTCAGTGAACTGTTACAAGATCAGATGTATAATTTAATCAAAACTACAAAGAACTGTAATTTATTTAAAGGTTCACTGATTTCTGTCTCTAGATTACTTGTTTTGCTGAGAAAAAAAAGTGAAAGCTTAAAGTTTTAAAAAAATGCGTTGGGTTTTTTCCTTACTGGTTCCCAGGCCTCCCCCTCTTTTGTGAATGAAATACATTTGTGTTTTGATACAAAACAATTCTAGACTATGTTAAAGATTACTTTTTTATTATATAGAATATGTTCTTGATTTCACCACCCCATTTAGCTGTCAAGTCTGCTGTTAAACCTGGATGCAGCAGTCCAATGTGTGGAAGAAACATTTTTTGGTAGCTGAAGTGGTTACTTTTGCAAAGTTAGACCATAGTTTACTTTATATCACCAAGTATTCTGAACATAATTGTCTGAGTGTTTTTTTAATTGAAATAGGTGTCAGATATAATATTTCCTGTTTGCACTCTGATAATGTGATTATTTAATTCAGGGTTTCATATGATGAGGCTTTTATTATGGCCAGTGACCCCTTGGAAGGCTTTCATGAAGTGAACCTCGCTTCGCCTACTACACCGGATCTTCTTGGAGTAAATGAGTCAGGGACTCAGGAACAAACTACCTCACCCAGTGTTATCTACCGACCACATCCTTCTGTTGTGTCCTCCACACCAATCCAACCCAATGCATTAAATGTTTCTGACCTTCCCACACAACCTGTTTATTCATCTCCCAGACAACTGAACTGTGGAGAAGCATCATGTGTCAGGTAAGTTTAGTGTGTCTATTTATTTAACTTGCTGATGTTTGTTGCATGTACGCTTCTTATTTTACTAGAGATATAATATTATTTATAATGTTCTAATATTAAATTGAGTCCGTAATGGTATATTCAACACCACTACTGCCATTTCTGAAATATTTCCTTTTTTATTATATAAATAAAAAATGTATCACTCTCTTTACAGCATCAATGTTACCGACGCAGTACTTTCTTCTACCTCTGGACCCCAGGGTGGGTCATTCAATCACAGTCATTCCAGAAAGGAGAGCAATAATGCAGAGAGAGAGTTTTTGCAGGGTGCTACAGTAGCAGATGTTGCTGAAGGAAATGAAGATATTTTTGGGTTGAGTACAGACAGTTTATCTCACTTACGGAGCCCATCTGTACTGGAAGTAAGAGAAAAGGGCTATGAAAGATTGAAAGAAGAACTTGCAAAAGCTCAGAGGGTAAGGCTTGTTGTCTTGTCTCCTTCTGCTTTTTCTCACTTCAGAGTGGTTCTAATATTGCTGAATGATAAATGTACCAGAAGGTGCAGTCTGAGTCTACTGATTTCTTACAGAATTAATAGGATGTCAGTATTTTATGTAATGTTACTCCAAATGTGTGCAGTGCTAATGTCTTAGAATTATTCCTTGTTAGTGTTTTTTTTCTAGTGCTGCTGCTACTTAAACATGGAAATGCTTTTTCTTGAAAATGTAGACCATTCCTTCATTCTGGCATTTGAGAGTAGGAGTAATTTTCTGTCATTTTGTGATTACCATGTAAGTATTTATAGATGGTGATTATATTGCTCTCTAGTCTTCTTTCTTCTAGAGTATAAAAGTGTAGCATGTGTCATGGAAGGTAGAAATACTTTAGAACAAGGTACTATGTTTCATAGGGGAATGCCTGCACAGAAGCAATAAAGATGTTGCTGGTTTTCTTCAGAGTACTGTTACACCACACTTCAAATTGAATGTGGATACCTTAGCAGACACTGTGGCTCAATTCATTAATATTTGTAAAGCGCTTTGTCTTGTTTGGATGGATGGTGCTATATAAATGCAAAGCCATTATTTATCATTTTAACATCCCTCTGTGCTTAAACTTTCATGTAGATTTTGTGCTGCTTGTATCTATGCCCTTTCCTCTCCATGATGATGATGATGTTGTTTATATTTAAGCACATCTTGTTTTTGAACTTGTTTTCCTTCGTTTGTCACTTCATCTTGTTGAATGTAGTCATGATGTCTGTCATAGTTGCATTTGCCCTTGTTAATGTGAATCTTAAATATGGATTCATCACTTCTTCTGTTGATTGTTTTATTGCTGTAGTTGCTTATTGTAGTTTTTATTGTAGTTGCTTCCTTTGGTAATGTATTTGTTTGCTTAACATTTGACTACTGAAATGAAACATTAACCTGACCTAAGTTTGAAGACCCTGCATGTGAATATATAAGCCTAATAGTTAACCTTGGAGCCTTAAAAAGTAAGAATAAATTAAAGTTTAAACTTCAGAAAAACTGTTCTAACTCCTGACAGGTTGATTCTTACTAGTATTATACTGGATGGATAACTTATTTTGTCTGCTTGTCTTTCTAAACTTGCAGTGTTTCAGAGTTGCCCAGTAGCACAGGAGTCATAGCAGGAGTCTGTACAGACTGTACAACAATAAATTCTATTCCTTCCCTCGTATCTACTTTTTTTCTGCTTCCTCTATAAGGAGGAGTTTTTACCATCCTTAATTCACATATGCTTTCTCCTATAAGTTCACAGAGGGCTGTGCCCACTATGTGATACTCAGTATGTAATGCAGTTTTTAAAGTTTTACTTTGACATGTATTCACTTTCGTTGACGAGTACTCAATATAAAAATCTGTAGGGATATTATTAATAGGTAGTGTCTGGTGGTTTCTTTTTTGTTAGTTTGTTTTTAAATTCTCTATGAAAAGGGAGGTTTAGATTAGACATCAGGAAGAAATTCTTTGCTGTGAGGGTGGTGAGACACTGGAATGGGTTGCCAAGGGGAGTTGTGGCTGCCCCCTCCCTGGATAGTCAAGGCCAGATTGGATAGGGCTCTGAACAACCTGGTCTAGTGAGAGATGTCCCTGCCCATGGCAGGGGGGTTGGGTCTAGATCTAAGGCTCCTTCCGGCCCAAACTGTTCTGTGATTCTATGAAGTCTGTGCTGGTTGTTAGGACAGTGAGAATACAATTTGTACTTAGAAGTTTTTGAGCTCATTGAGCCTCAGAATACCTTACAGGCTACAGATTTTTGAGAGTGAACCCCGTAAGAACAAATTTGCTCTCTGACGTTTTCTATTTGTTCCACATTTCTTACCCAAACTGTATGCTGTTCTAATAAGCATTCAACACTGATTTGATTTATGCAGTTGTGATCAGAAAGGGAACTAGAAAGGAAATAAAAATTTTGAAGCTTTGGGATCCATTGCCCAATTTTTTAATGCCTGTCTTTAGAGGGTAACTTTTTTCTAATATCCTCTCAGTTTTTTGTATTAGATGTATGGCTTGTCATTGTTAGCTACACGGTTCTTGAATAAATTATTCAGGCATAAAATAAAGATTTATTCTTTTTGTTCCTCCTCCTTTGTGTATGCCTTGCATTTCCTAAGACTACAGACTTCTCAAAATAAACAGTGTCACTGGCAACATTTTTAATAAACAAGTCTTTAAAAAAGTTGTTTCTTCACAAGAAGAAATGTACTATTGTACTTCAGTCTGGTTTGGTTGCAGCACTGAATCATGTCATAAAAAAGGTAACAGCAAGGTGAGAGGTAGCAGCAGGGTGGCAGCATCCTATACTAAAGGAGCACATAAGGTTGGACATACTTTTGCCTTAAAATACTCCCTTAATTAAAATTACCTTTTTTTTTTTTTTACTTTGCTGCTTATTTTTTCAGTTACGACTGGATTTCTGGCTATGTGGAACTGAAGAGCCCTTGCTTGTAGACAGTCTGAACCTTTCTCCCTTTAAAGCATCAGCAGTAAGATCAAGAAGGTGTAAAAAGGCTTAGTGATTCAATGTCTCTCTGCATTTGCATTTTTTCTCTACCATGTTTGGATTAAGCAGTGTCACTGTTGTTACTGAAGGTAGATCAACTACATGGAGATAACATGAGAGAATAGTGATGGTATTTTGATGGATGGTATTTTTTGATCTGCAAGTTTAGTGGAGTCCTTGAAAAGGGAATACCTTTTTGCTTTTCATCTGAAGTAACAAGCACATGTTGCATGTAATTTGGGTAGCTCACGTGCAGCTTCTGAGCTCTTGGGAGTTCATAGTCATGATTTCTTTGACTTTTTTACTCTTTAGAGTAAGATCTCTAGGCTTGTTGGTAACAAATAAAAAACATGTTTGAGTTGTAGTAGAAATCTGAATTGCTGGTATCTCCCTAGCAGAGTGAAGTAGTTTTTTCCACACTAATGCAGTGATGCATGTGAAAGAGGTGACAATATAGGATGTATTATTGTAAAAGCCTAGATTTTTCATTCAAAAGCTTCAATTTCTGTATGCATTCCTCATCTCAGAAACATGGAATGTTACAGTTTGATCTCTTGTCTGCAGATCTTGTGTGTTGATACAGAATTTGAAGCAGATTTTTTCCATTTTTCCACTTGTATTGTCAAAGAATCCAATGTAACAGACTATTGTCATTGTTACAGTGTTTCTCCTCAGGCTAGCAGTAGTGGTTAAATACCTTTTTTTCCACAGTAAACATGAAATTTTAAAACTGCTTGTATTTTTGAATAAATAGATTCACAGTAACTACCCAGAAATTCTAGTAGCACTATACAGTACATGAGCATTTAAAAATTTCTGTTGTCATTTGCTTATAAGTTACCAAACAATAAAAATGAAAATGTTCCAGAATAATACAACATCCCAGAACTCCACTGAAGAGTATGCTTTCAAGCTTTTGTAAAGTAAAATTGCATTTGAATTGTAAGGCCACTGGTTTGTGATTGTTAGAGATGGGTTAGTTCTCTGGAGGTGTTTTAGCAGTTCCTTGCTGGTTTTGAGTGATGAAAGTTTCAGTTTCCATGCCTCTGACTGATACTGTTGTAGTGTATTGTAGGCAAAGAAATTTTCTCAGGCAAGTAGAAGACTACATGCAAGCAAAACAGAAGCATCTTCACCCACACCATAAATTGATAATTAAATAGTTTCTGAAATGCTCTTATCTCTGAAAAGATATTCTGGACCTTCTCTCACATTAAAAAAACTTGTAGATGTGGTTTGTGGACTAGTTTTTATATAATTTGTCTAACTTGGGTGCTGAGTGAAGAGCAATCAAATAGAAATGTATTCTAATATAAATAAAACTTTTTTGACAACTTCAGAATTCAGCAGTATCCCACGGTTCTGAATTCAGGTGCTATCTGTAAATAATCTTTGGTCTTTCCTTGATCTTCTGCATCTAGTTCTGACTTGGTTAAATTGCTGAACTAGATGCAGGATGGTTTTTCTTTTCAAGAATTTAAAATATTCATGTTTTTGAAGCAGTAATTTGCATTCCTTATCTCATTTAATAAAGACCCACCCTGTAGCCTGTTTATGAAGATCAAAGTGAAATAAGCAATAATACTACTCTTTGATACCAGATTTTTTAAACTTTTTTTTTCCATACAAGTTAAATTTTTCTCATAGCAGCTTAAGCAACTCTGTGTGTTGTGCTTTATAATAGTGTATCTTTTTTATGCAGTTACTTTTTCAGAACAGTAGTATGGGAGGGACTGCAGCATGGATGGTTAGTCTAGCACACACAGTTGTCTTTTCTGCCTCTATATGGTGTATGTCTGGGAAGTCTCCAATAATGTGCACTCTTTATTTCTGCCCTGCTTAAAAACCCAAGCTATTAAACTTGCTTGGCAAATCATACATTTTATTATGTTCCTTCTGAATCATGTCATGGAAACTTGCCCAGTGTTGGACAAATTTAGCCAAGTAGCCATGCATAGTAGGCTGCCTGGTGTTGTCTCCTTTTTGTTTTCATTAAGTAACTTTACTTGTTTGCCTAAGTTTTAATCTAACATCCCCCCAACTCTTTCCAATTGCAGGCAAAACTGTAACCATCTTACTTCAAATAGTGCATTGATAGTGGTAGCCCAAAAGTGAACCTGGGCTAGTTCTTCCTTCATTGTGAGTTTGGTAACTCTTGACCTGAATGTTAACAACCTTCTTTTAAGATATATTAATGCGTATGTAGCATTTTCGTTACAATCAGTAAACCAAAGGAAATGTATTGTGAGGAACATGTGAACTTGAGCTTTAACATTTTGCATCAGAATCTTTCATTTCCATATTAAGAACTGTACTTTATATGGGAATTACTTGAAATCAACAACAACAAAAATATTATTTTTTTTCCTTTTTTTAAACCTTTCCCACTTCCCCCCCAGTATTTTTTTCTTTGGCTTTTTTGTATTCCATTTTCCTTTTCTTCTCTCCATCTGTAGCTATTTTCCTGCTTTTTTTGGTTTGTTGTTTGTTTGTTTTTAAGGGAGAGATAGGTCACTTTGAGCAGAATAATAGCTAGGAAGTAAGAGTTTAGTACTATTTGAGAAACACTATGTTTGGAAAAAAGCTATCACTTCAGTGGTACCTTTCAAAATAGTCAAAAGGTTGCATATGAGAAGTAAAAAAATAAAAATGGCAAACAAATTAGACTAAAAATCAGTGAAAAGGTCCAAAGTTAAAACTAAATAAAAGAAGAGAGAAATAGTGCCTTTGATACTAAGTGAGTCTAGAGCAGTCATTAAACACTTGTAGGATTTAGGAGCCAAAGTTAAAGAGGACCCTTCATCTTAGAGGAAAATCTATTGCCAGCTTCACTGCAGAAATTGAGATCAAGACCTAATACTAACATGCTACAAAGCAAAATGTAGGTTCCTGCATCATTGTGTACAATGTTTCTCTGTTGTGAAGACTGGGAGAAATACTGACTGCCTCCCAGAAACCCAAGGGAAGCTGCCATTTGGGCCTTCTTATGATTGTTGTCTTGCCCCCCAGCTTCTTCTGAGGGCAGCTGCTTTCTTTGCTGGTTTCTGGAGGTTTTCAAAGCAAATGCTAGATTGTATGTGGAGTCTCTAATATGTCAGTGACAGTGACTCCTGCATTTCAGGAGTGGGGGAAAAGAAGAGGAGGAAGAACTAGATGGCAATAGGAGGGGAGTTATGGCCAAGAAAAGAAAATGCTTGAAAGGTCAGAGTGGATGGTCTGCTGCTTTTCTTTCCCTTTTTCTCTGCATCCTTCTCTTTCTTGCAAGAGATTACAGGGTTTAATAGTTGGGAAAGGAACCCTTCTTTTAAATTCCTTGTACTTCTTTGCAAATCACCCCCCTTTTCCATTAGGCTTGAGACAATACAGATGAGATTGAGCATGTGTAACTCTTATGCTGCCAAATCTGTATTAAAATCTTACTGTAAAAGTGGTATGATGAGGCCTTCTTCATTTAAGTTTTAGAGGTGTAGAAAAAGAATGTTTTGACTTAACATCAGGTGCTGTAAATTGATTTATATATCTGCATAAAAAAGGGCAGGGATATAATGACAGTATTATTTTGGAATTGTATTAGGTGTAAGGCGATATGCAGGAGATAATAATAAAATGTTTTAAGATTCTTTTAGAATCTTAAATTCTCTTGAGACAAAGCTTTCATTTATTTTTTTTTTAAAGGATTGCTTTAAGTGTCTGTTAAGGAATGGGTAAACAGAACTGGTATTCTGTCGGTCCCAGTAATTAATTTGATCTATATTTTAAGCCTTAAGTCTTCCATACTTTAAAGAAAAAAGCTTTTTTACTTCAGAGTATTTTGGAAATGCTGATGTCTAGGCTAGAGATACTTTAGATTGGCCTTGTATATTGCTGTAAATCAGGAAGGATAGTTATATGTATGTACAGCATTAATTTAATTGCTTCTAGTGTTGAGACTAATATTTCGAAAGACTTTGTTTAGCAAAGGTTTTATTTTCCTCTGATTATATTTTCTTTTCCTTCCCCTCTGTAGTATTAGTTTGTAAAGGCCAAATTGCTACTCTAAGTCAGAATAAATAACTTTCAATTTTTCATAGGAGCTGAAGTTAAAAGATGAAGAATGTGAAAGGCTTTCTAAAGTGCGAGATCAACTTGGACAGGAATTGGAAGAACTTACAGCTAGTCTGTTTGAGGTTTGTTGGAGTCTTCAATGTGATATACTTGAAGCTGAGCCAGATGTTTTCTGTAGTATCAGTATGCTGAATTTTTCTGCAATAAGCTTATAAAGGGATTTGTGTCCTGAGGACCTGGGTGTATAGAAGTGGAGGCTTAAGAGCAAGGAGTAGTCTTCCCGCTTAGATGAAACAGACCTTGTTGAGCTCTGTTTAGACACAAACAATGAAAATAAGGAAAATAACCTCAGAAAGCTTAAACTATTTAGGCTTATTTTTTGGCAAAACTATTTTAAGTCATTTTCTCTGTCTGACGACAGGGCTACCTAAGTGCTAAATTTGGGGTTGCTGTGGTAATTAAATAAAAAAATAATGTAGTTTCACATCAGTGGAGGTAGCAAATACATAACCATGCTTTCAGCTTTTCAATTTTGAGTCTGGCAGCATGCTACTCTCTCTCACAAACTTGAAAAGAAACATTAATACTGAGTTGATGCACCAGAGTGGAACCTGGTTACTAAGTGAGAAGCCTGAAGTTTTAAGTGGGATCTTTACATTCAAGAAAAGTACAGTAGTGCCGGCAAAGTTTGTGAGTGGTTATTACACA